AAAGACATTTAGAATGAATAATGTTGGAGAACAATATAGATCAATGTATAACAACTTGGCTTTTGACCCTAATAACCTTGCTAACCTTGACCAAGACTTACCAAACTATATTCAAAACTATGTCCCTATCTTTTCACTTCCTCAAGAATGGCTTTGGTGCGAGTCATGGTGTAATCAAAAGGTTAAATCAAAAGCTAAAACAATAGATTTATGTAGTAATCCTATTAAGCCATTAGGCAAAATAGAGAGTGCTCTAAAATATATTGAAGAATGGAAAAGTTACGATGAAATTACAATCAAAAATATGTAGAATAAGATATTTACTCCATAATAAACAATATATGAAATTAAAAAGAATATTACATATTAAGAAATATGATATATATCATATTAAAGTAAAAACAAATGAACAAATAAACTATTATAAATACCTCCGAAAGATGAAAATAATTGAAATAGAAGCAAGAAAGAATAAATTGAAAAGAATAAGATGGAATTATAAAATGATGAAATATGGAAAAAGACAACACCTAAATAAGTCTAAAGAAGATGAATATCCAGATAATATCTCCACTATTAATTTCTGGAAATGAATCTATGAAACTAATACTAATATAGATTTTATCTAAATATTAATTTATATGAAATATTAAATGAAAATAGAATTAATAATAGAATATCAATAATCACTCCCAATGAATTAGATTGTGCTATTAAATTTATTGATAATTTGAAAGTAAAATAATATTGATAAAATACAAGGATTTTTGATTAAATATTTAGAACAACCAATGAAATATTTAATAAAATTATTTAATGAATGGTTAAACAATCCTAATGAAATACCTCTTCATTTTATTCAAGGAAGAACAATATTGATATATAAAAAATGAGATAAATTAGACACACAGAATTACAAACCAATAACTTGCTTAAATTGTCTGTTAAAAATGTATACATCAATATTAAAAATGAAAATAGAAAGCCAGCTGATGCTAAATCCAATTGAAAAACAACTTTCATTAAATCAAATTGGATGTAAAAATATACATATGCATCAAAAGAATGATTATTATACAACACTATAATCCAACAATTATTATTAAAGGATAAATGGAAGTGGTAGAAACATATTATGACGTCTCCAAAGCATATGATAGTATTAACCACCAATGGATTAAACAATGTTTAATTTATTTTAATATCCCACTAGTAGTAATTAATAGTATATTATATATATTAATTAATACATATCTTAATTTATATTACAATCAAGAAAGTGTGGGTATAATTAATGTAGAAAAAGGAATAATACAGGGTGATAGTTTATCTCCACTTTTATTTGTATTATCTATTGACATACTATCTAAACAATTAGATAAACAAATAAGCAAATTAAATATTAAAATGAATGGAGAAGAAAAACAAGTCAAGTTAAATCACATATTATATATTGATGATTTAAAAATAATGATTAATAGCCTCGATGAAATGGAAAAAGCCAACAAATTAACTAAAGAAATATTTAATGCAATAGGATTAAAAATTAATGTAGAAAAGAGTGGGATAATGACTAATATTAATAGTCAAATAAATGGTGAATTAGCTGAACTACCAAGAGTAACTAATGATAATCCTTATAAATATCTTGGTATTGAAATAGGAGATAAAGTAAATATCAACAAATACTGTACAAGAATATTAAATGATATATCTTCTATTTTATCATCATTAAACACTATGAAATACAGCAGCCCCAATACAATAAGAAAGATTAATAGTGATATAATCTCTAAATTAAGATATGGATTTAGTATTGTCCCATGGAAACTAGGAGAATTGGAGAAGATAGATAAACAAATAAGAAAATCATTAATTCACCTCCAATTATACAGTAGAAATATCCCAAAAAGTAGAATATATGTTAAAATGAATGAATTGGGAATATGACTAATGTCAACAAGAGATGAATGTGGTAAAGAATTAATAAGAATATATTTAAAATATAATTGGAGATCAAACACAGAAATAGGAGAAATGATAGAAGCAATAAAAGAAAATCCAAATTGAATAAATAAAAGAATGAAGAAAGCATTTGGTAAGAAGATTAATTTTAATGAATTAATGAATGTAATAGAATTAAATGAAAGAAAGCACAATGTAAAGGAAATATTTGAATGGGTAAATAATGAATTAAATGATAGATATTTAAGTGAATGGAAAGAAAAGAAATGTGGTGAATATATAAGATGTGCAAATGGCACCTTTAATGATAAAAAACTAACAGTAACAACATGAATGTCATTAAACGGGTACGAAAATAAGCAAAGAAAAATGCATCTAAATAATTTACAAAAAAGAAAAAAGATGCAAAAAAATTTGCATCCATAGAATTTTCCACTTTATTATATTTTGCTCCTAACAAATAAAAAAATAAAAAGTATGATAAATACAGAATATATAAATATTTATGTTTATATTTTATAATCATTTCTATTCATTTTGTATGAAATATTAATGAAATAGATTATTTGATTATTCATATTTATTTTTATTCTTTTTATTCTTTTATTTATATGTTATTTATCTATCGTATTTATATATTTATTTCTCTGTTTATATTATGTATATCATTGTATTCTTATTATTATCTATTTATTTTTATGTATTTATTTCTTTTATTATGTTTTTTATGTTTATATTCTTTAGATTTTCTTATTGTTATTCTTTTCTATTTAGTTGTATTTGTTTATTTGTTTATTCATCTTATTCATTTTTATATTATTATCATTTATATCTATTTTCAATTTATATTTATTCTCTTTTGATTTATATTAATATTAATTTTATCTTTTATACTTTCTTTTATTATTATATCATTGATTATCATTTCTCCTTTTATTTATCATTTATTCTTATTATTCTTTTGTTTTATATTCTATATCATATATTCATATCATTTTCATTTATATTTTATCACTTATTATATATTATAATAACATAACACATATGATTGATTATATAATAAACATCATGATGAAGTTATACACATAAATAATAAACACAAAAAGAGTAAAATATTTTTCATTAATAAAATAATATTAATTATTTTACATCATTAAATTAGACACTTTTTATTGAATATTTCTAATTTTTACAATAAAAATACACTTTTTATTTCTTCTTTCTTTTCTTTTTTTATCATATCTTTGTGATTTATTACTCTTTATCTTCTTTGTACCTTCTTACTTTTTCTTAACTTCATATTTTTATTCTTTATTATTCTTCATACTTTTTTATATCTTTATCTTCATTTTCTATTATTTGTTTTTTTTCGTTGCAATTTAAAATAAAGTGTGAAATAGATTATTTAAAAACTTAATATCAACAATCAAACAAGTTACAATAAAGTTGTAATGATAATCACAAAATAAGTATTATAAATAAAACACTTCATCAAAATTACTTTTATTAAATAATACACAACTTGGATTAAAATATATTAATCTTACTCCTGATTAATTAGACAAACTCGATTCTTCTTTTAATAGTTTTGTTGATGCTCAAAATTTAACAGATAAAATGAATTAATTAAACAACAACCAAGTGCATTGATAAAATTTAATGAAGTATCAAATAATTTTATCAATTTACTCAAATTTAAAAATAGTGTTGAAAAATGAATGTTTATTTGATGAAAAATGATATTAATGAATATTTAGGAATTATTGTTACAGAAGATAATAGATATGTTGTTAATCAAGGAATTACTTCTGAACATAAAACTAATCATAAAATATATGAAATAGAAAAGTACAAAATTATAATGAAGAATGAATGAAGAAGTTATTATTTAAACAATAAGAAAAGAAGAAGTTGAAGAATGTTACAATGATAAATTGAACTAATTTAATAGTTTTGTTAATATTTTATTGTTTCAAATAAATGATAATTTGAATAAAAAGAAATAAAATAAACAACAACGAATAAATAGTTATAATATTCTTATACATTATTCAGTTGTATAATTTGATCATTATTCATAAATTCGAATATTAATACTTGCTAAATTTACATTATCATTGAAATATTCTACATTATTCATTTTTATTTTATTAAAATTATTATAATAAACAAACTCATATTTATACATTCTTTTTTATTTATTAAAATAACATATGATTATTGTGTTTGTTCAAAAACTATTTAGTATCATTTCACTTCGATAAAATGTATTTCTATTCTATTCTTCTTCTATTTCTTTTATTTCTCTTTATTTTATTAAACCAAATTGTTGTTTTAAATTATTCTTTCTTCAATTAGAGAATTATCATCATTATTCCAATTATCATAATGAATAGATTTATTCTCATGTCTCTTGTTCCATTGCTTGGATTTGGTGGATAAAGACAAACGTCTTCAATACATCTATTGTTGATATAATCAAATTTATATCCTGAATCACAATATGCCAATACACATTTTGTACTCCATTCTCCATTATCTCCACATTCATATCCTCCATGTCAATGCTTTTTATTAATTTCTTCATCACATTTTTCATCTCTTTTAACTAATCTTTTATTCTTTGGATTACATTTCGTTTTATATTTCTCTACTATTTTCTTTGTTTCTTCTTCAAATTCTTTTATATTATCGTTTGAGAATTGATAAATATTCACTCTTTCATCTATAATATCTGTTAAAAATTCTCTTGGAATTGTTTCATTGTAATTATAATTAAATCTGCATGTTTCTCTAACAGTTAATCCCAATTTATATCCATATTGTTTAAAAATATTATTTGAATCTATTTCAGTAATACTACGAATATTATTAGATGGTGATAATCCTACTTCAAATTCTTCATCTTTTCCATATGGATCACCATCAAATCCTACAATAATAGCTCCTCCCCATTCTTTTAATCCTTTTGTTACCAATGAACATGCTGAATAACAATATGAATCTGTATAAACTACTATTTCTGTCGGTTTTCTTGGATGTTTCATCGATTGCTTTATTTCAGGAACATCATTAAAAGAGATTGTTTGTAGTATTTTCATAAGACTAACTATTGATGGTTGTGTAACATTATGTTCAACATCTTCATATTTAATAGTTCTATGGTTTGTGTACCATTCTCCAAGTGTTTTTGGATTAATTTCATTTTCTCTGCTTTCACATGTTTCTGGGTCATACATATATAAAGCATATCCTTTTTTCATTACATCTTCTATAAATTCTGATATTCTTGCTGAATTGATATAATCAAAATCATCATATGGTGATAATGCCTTTTCGATTGTTTGTGCAAGTTTCACCAAACCTCCTCCATTTTTTGGGAATATTACTTGAATTGGATAATCATTTGAATCAAACTTATCAACACATTCACTTAATTTTATCAAAAAATAGTAGTAATTATTAAAAGTATTTACAATCAATGTATTTACTTTGTTACTTGTTGTTAAACAACATATTTCTTCTTTATATTCAGAACGATTAGGTTTATATTCATCATTTTCTTGTTTTATTCTTTTTCTTTCATTTCCTTCTTCAAAATCTTCTATTCTTATTCCATCTCTTATTCCTCTTCTTTTACTTCTTTCAAGTACTTCTTGGAATTTCTGATTCATAGGATTAAATTTCATTATATTATAATTAACTGTTAGACTTTCTCCATTTTCCCATGTAATTGTTATTGGTGTATTTAAATATTCTTTTGTTAATGGTAATTCATTCAATGATCCAAGTATTATTGCTGATTTCGCTTCTGTAAATTGTGCATGTGGACATTTTAGTCCTAAATATTTCTTTCCAAATTCTCGAATAATATTAAATGGATCTTCTCCATTTATTGTTTTAACTGGTACATTCTGATTATTTACAATTTCTTCTGGTACATCAACTACAATAAGAGTATTAGGAAGTTCATTTAATGGTTTTAAATACATTTTCTTATCACTATCAATATTTATTGTAAATGGAAGTAAATAAATAAAATAAACAAGCTCTGAATTTGGTTTTTTAAGAGTATCATCTATATTAAACCCTAAATGAGAATCTCTTGTTGAAATAATAAGATTTTTTATTTCTGAGTAAAACTCATACAGACTTGTTGTTTTTGTATTTATTTTATCTAATTCTGAATCAATATCCACTTTCTCATAATAATTATTTGAAAATGATGGTTGTGGTGGATTTTTTTTAATATGTCTTTGAATACATGTGCATTTAAATAATATTTCAATCAATCAATAGTCTCAGTATTTTCTTTCTCTGTGGTTTTAATTGATTCAATACATTCAAATGTACTATCAACTGTATCTATATCATATGAGTTAGTATATTCATTACACTGTTTTGATAAAGAAAGAGTAATAAATAGAAGTAATACAATATTCATATTTAATGATTATATCGTTCTAGTTTTATGTTTAAATATTCACTTATCTTTTCTTTCATTTACCTTATTTTATTATTTATTCATAACTTCTTCAATTTCTTTTTTCTTTTTTATTCTTTTTATGTTTATTTTTATTTAAACACTACCCAACATTACTTTTTTTCATGTTTTTATTCTTATTTTTAATTAAACATCATTCGTTTTTGTCATATTTGTTTCCATTTTATCGTTATTTATTTTATTGTTTTTACACTTATTTCCTTTTCTTTATTTTATTATTTTACCCCTTTTTTATTTGTTTGATTCTTTATCTTTGTCTTTCTTTGTATGAAAATATTAATGATTTTCTTATTTCTTTTATATTTTATTCTTATTTCATATTCATTCGATGGTATTTTTAATTATTTATAATTTGAATGACATTTTCACATTTATTTTACTCATTTGAAATTTCATTCTTTTCTCTTTTTTTCTTCTTATTTCTTGTTGATTGATTGTTATTATATCATTTTCTTATTATTCTTTCTTTTATTTATAAATAAATTAAACATAATTTTGAATATGATGTTATTTCTTTAAAGTTTCAAATAATTATAAAATAATATTGTTTATATTTCGATTCATTTTAGGGGGTATAGAAACAATTCGATAATTTATATTCTTTTCATGTTATTTTTAAACAACATTTGAAAAAATTATTTAATAATAATATTTCATTGATAAAATGATAAATCATATTACATAAATGAATAAAATAAATAATAAGAAGCATTCTAAATGAAGAAAATATTACCGCATTTATAAATAATGTTGATAGGAAATTGGTTGTAATATAAAAAATTAATTCGTTTGTAACTTTTCTCAATGATGATAAACTAAAAATAGAAAAACACATGGTATTTATTCAAAGGGTTTACAACATCAATCAGTGTTTTCAAATGGGAGATTCTGAACAACAAGAAATACAAGTAAACAATGAAATGACAGAATCTCAACAACCAGAAAAACAACCAGCCAATGAAACGACAGACTCTCAACAACAAGAAATACAATTAACAAAAGAAAAGACAGAATCTCAACAACCAGAAACACATCTAAACATTGAAATGACAGAATCTCAAGAAACTTCAAAAAGAAAGAAAAAAGATTGTTGTTACTACACAAAAAAAGAGGGTGGTAAAATTATCTTGCAGTTTTTTTCAGGTTTAATTTCATTAAAATCGGCTATTTCCCTTGCTTGTCAATTCCAATTATTATTCTTTATAAATGTAATACTTATTGGAATATTTATTCTTTTCATTATTTCTACTGGTCATTTAGTGTGTACTTCAACAGTTTCTATTGGTTATAAATTGGTTTATGGTTATGTGATGGTATATGGATCATTGTTTTTACTAACATTCATTTATTATTTCATATTATTTTCAATTGAATATCTAAGCCGATCATATAGGTATTTGTTTGGAGATAAAAAATCAAATGACAAAGGAAAAAAAATATGTTGTAATAAATGTAAAAAAATATATTGCCCTAAAAATTGTAAAGAGATTCTTGATAAATGTAAAAAAATATGTTGCCCTAAAAACTGTAAAAGGATTCTTGAATGTATTGTTCATCACATTGGGATTATTGTTCTAGTTGTTGGTGTGATTGTTGGTTTCGGTGTTGGACGTAGGATAACGAAAAAACATGGAGAACCAAGTGTATTAACTTATATGGGATATTGGTATTTATTGTTAGGATTAATATGTATTGGAGGAATATTTATTATTATTTCAATAATTGACTATGTATGTAAATTGTACTACAACACTAATGGTTGCTCAAGTAAATCAAAAGATATTTGTATAGATATTTGTATTAAAGCAATATTTTATGTATTACCAAACTCGTTAATAAATAGATTTATAGACTATTGTATTTCATTTTTCTGTAAAAAAAGACATGAAGAATGTAGGCTAGGAGTTCAATTCGGTGAATTACTTTCTCTCAAACTAGTGTTGTTTATATTATTTTTGGTGTGTTTAATTTTTGCTACTGTACATTCACATAAGAATGATGGAAATATTGGATGGTATTGGCTAATATTTATTTTTTCATTTATATCTGGATTTATTCCATCAATTCGAGAATTAAGTAAAAAACCAAAGGATGATGAAGATGAGTATTATGATGGTACAATTACGTACAGTGATACAGAAAGTATAGAAATAGAAAATGATGAAGAAAGAGAAAATCCAAAAAAAGAAAGTAATGAAGAAACAGAAGATAATTGGCACAATGTACTAAAAGATTCATGTGGATTTAATTTTAGAAGAAGTTCAATTCCTTTGCAGACACTATCGGTTTTACTTATTGTTGCAATAATAGTTGGTTTAATAGTTTATAAAATTAAATCAAAAAAGAGTAGTTCATCTCCAAAGAAAAGTATGTTTGAAGAAGAAAATGAATATATTTCATTCAGAGCAAGAATGAAAGAAATATATGAAGGAATTTCATATGATGATGAAATGAATGAAGAGATGTATTATCGAACAGAAAATAAAGTGTATGAACATTCTCATTTATGTGAAACTGATTCATATGGTATTACACCTTTTGATTATGCATGTTTAAGTAATTTAGCATATGCAGACAATGTAAATGACGCCAATTATGCAAACATAAAGAAATATCTTGACGGTATTGGATGGAAGACAATTACATTTTATGAAAAGAAAAAAGATGACAATAAAGAAGGTCCTGTCTTACATTACCTTATTGCGAATAAAACGAATACAGATATTACTGTTTTTGGATTTAGAGGATCAAATAAATTCTCTGACTGGGTTTATGATTTTAAATTATTTACAGAATCTGCATTGCCATCTTTGTCAGTTTCAATATTTCCAGTATTTACAAATCAAGCTCTTTTAAAAATAAGTTATATTCTATCGTTTTTCGGTTCAAAGGCATTTCCAAAAAGTGATTATGATTTACTTGATATTGCAAAAACAGTAGTAGAAAGTGAAATGAAAAATGCACCAAATAAACAATATATTGTTACTGGACATTCTCTTGGAGGAGGACTTGCAAATATTGTTGGAAGTGAATTGGGAATAGTAAGTTTTGGAATATCACCTCCTGGAACTTATTTAGGAGCAAAAGCACAAAAATTGAAGAAAAAGGATATAAGATTATTTGCACGTGCTGTAATTCCTGATAGAGACATTGTTGCTTCATTAGGTGTTGAGGGTGGGTTACAAATGTCAATTCCTTGTTATGAACATGCATTTGGTTGTCATAGTATTGATAATTCAGTATGTATGATTGGTTCATTATGCCATTATAATGAAAATGAAAATATAAAAAATATATGTTCTATGAAATGGGATGATTGGAAATTAGGTTTTGATGCTAAAGTCAATTGAATGACACAAATCTAATAATTTAAGAAGTTTATTTAATTAATGGTTTTTAATAATTATAAATAAAATAAAAGAATAATGAAAAATGATGATATTTGATTTGAATAAAATTAAATGAATGAGAATAATATGTTATTCATTTAATATATCAATATGCTAATTATTTCTTTATTTCATTTTATATTTTCTTTTTGAAATGATAAATAAATCATTAATAAATAATTGAAATAAAGAATAAAAGAATATAGAAATAAAACAATTATTTAAATAATATAATCACATTTGTTTATTAACAAGAAATGAAAATATAACATGGCATAATAAACATAAATTCCAATGATAATTTCAATTGAAATGTGATTATTTTAGTTTATACAATTATTTAACATTTCATTTATACAATATTTCAAATGATAATATATAAATAACAATAAAATGATGAAATTAAATATTTAAAATAAATGAATAATGTAAATAACAATTCAATAACAAAATAAAAGAATAATAAAATTAAATTAAATTCATTTCTATTTTCTTATTTATCTTTATTATTATATTGTTATTACTCTTTTATTTTCTTCCTATTCATTTTGTATATTTATTCTATTATGTTGTTTATATTCCTTTAAAATTCTCTTTATTCTTTTCTTTTTATTTTTTTATTCTTCATTTCTTATTTTATTTCTAATTTCAATTATTTTAAATTTATCTTAAATTTATCTTCTTCACTTAAACAATGACACATTCATTATTATAGTATATCTTTCTTAATACCTCATTCTTTTCAATTCATTCGGACATCCTTCATAACATTCATATCCTATTTCACTAACACTTGTTGGTATATTAATTGTTGTTAATGATGTACATCCAGAAAACAATTATTTCCTATCACTTCAATATTTGTTTCTATATTGATTTGAAGAAGGTCATTACATCCAGAAAAACATTCATCAGCTATTCCATAATTTTTCTGGTACTTTCCATATTTTCTATGTCTTTTACAGTAAAAATAGTTTATTATTTTATAATTATTTCTTCTTTAAATAATGTTGAATGAAGAATTGGTATTCTTTCTAAATTATTCCAGTGATGTTTATTATTCTTTTATTTTATCATTACATAATCATAAAAATAGTATTTTCTTTTGTTTTCAATTTTTAACGTGATTATGTCGTCATTTTATCATTTGATATTAAAATAAATGTTGTTTTATTGTTATTTATATATTTTCATCTCATAAGTTATTTCTTTCCTTTCCTTTTTCTTTTTTTATTTATTACACCCTTTTATTTTTCTGTTTGTTGTCTTATTTCATTTTATTCATTTTGTAAATCTACCTTTCTTCTTTTTTTTATTATTTGATGTTGATTATTCATACTTATTTATTCAATTATTTTCATAATTGATTATATTGTTATTTCATTATTCTTATTTTTTTTTCTATATTCATTTCTTGTGTTGAATTTTATTTCTTTTTATTTCTCTTTTATTTGTTTATTCATTATATTTCTAATTGTTATTTTTCATTCTTCTTTTTTATTATTTCTTTGAAATTTATCATCATTTTGTATAAAATACTTTTTATCCGTTTTTGTTGACTTGAATTACTTTAAATTAAAAATAGATCAAATCAATTTTAAAATTACTTATTTTATTTAACAGTCTTTCTTGTTTATTCTTTTAATTTTATCGTTAATACTATTTCTTTGTTTCATCATTTCAATCATTATTGTTCTGAAATTAAAATAACATTGAAGAGGTAGTGGTTGTGATGTATAAAAATATTGTCATTTTTATTTCAATTCTTTTTAATTATTTTCTTTTTTATTTCATTTTCTTTCGACTAAAAAATGAAAGTCATGAAATATCACAAAAACATTAAACATAATAACAAAAGAAAATTTCATATCAATAAATAAATATAAATAATAAAAGAATGTGTGAAATATATATTATTTGTATTGACAGAGATACACTGATCATCATAATAATTATATGAATCATTTCATTCATTTTGTCAACATAAATATTTTAATAAAATCAGTGGAAATAAACAGACGAAAACAGAAAATAACAAATAAAAGAAAATAATTATACATTTCATCATTGAAATTGATTAACATGAAATAAGTAAATTAAATGTTGTTTAAACGAAAGAAATTTTGAAAATACATCACAAGTGTAAATAAAACATTCAATGATAATAAATTGACAATAACAAAATAGAGATTATTGAATATAAAAAGAAATACATTTCTCAAAAGAGTAAAGATATGAGAAAGGGTAACTATGACAGAAATATTAATTCTAAAATACTCATTGGTGTTTCATTAAAATCACAATTTGATTATAATCATATTCACTTTTTTATTTTTTTTTTCTCTTGTATTTCTGTTATTGTATTTTCTTTTTTATTTTGTTGTGAATGGATAAAATACATTGAATATCATTGTTTTTATTTATTTAATAAATTTATTCAACTCTTTTTAATTTTATCTTTTACAATTTTCTTCTTTTTCCAACTATTGATTTTGTGATATAATTATACTATTTTAGTCATACAATACACACATTTCAAAAGTATTTTAATTGAAATGTATTAGATATAAGTTTAACATTTTGTTGAATATTATCAGAAACTCTTTCTGAATTAAAATTATTGTTGATAGAACTCATTTTAATATCAT